GTTTTCGACTTATAGACAAAAATTGACATTTTAGCGAAATCTAAAAAAATTCATATCTTCGTTATTATAAAAGACACAGATTTGAAATAAAGACATTATAGAGGCACTTTTTTACGTAGAATTTAATAATGTAGTTAACAATTTTTTTCAGTTGTTTGTTTAACCGTAATAAAAAAAACTTGTATTTTTTTAAATAGGAACCATAGATGGCTATGTCATTTTTAAAAAGCTTGTTTTTTTCTTATCTAAAAAATATATATTTGTAACAAATTATTATAATACATTTTTAGCAAAAAATTATAGTTGATTTTTGTTCGCAGTTGGCCATGAAAAAATGTTGCATCTTCAACTAAAAGGATTTAAACTATATTATATTCAACCAGTGTCACTAATGAAAGAGTTTTCTAAGTACTAAGTGATGAAAAAGATGCAAAATAAATTGTAAATCAACTTATTGGCGACTAATAACATTTCTTTGTTTTTAAACAAGCTAACATTACCATTGCAACTTCTAGTGATACATAGAGTGTTGTAAAAAAAAGCCGCTTTAATTCTTCAATAAAATATATTTTATATGACACAAAAATGACGATATGGATATTCAAATACCCAAATTCCGTCTATGTGAAACGTTATTCTACCTCCATTAGATCATCAAAAAAATGTTTTTTCTAATTGTGTTGACTGTTGACACATTTTTTTCCTATTTTTGGATTTTTTAAAAATATGTAATAATTTTGTTCTGAGGCTCTCGGATATTTGTTCAATGCTTCTACCGTATCATATTTTTTAAATCTTTATAATTTTATCTATTTTTTCATCTATTTTACAGTTTACAAAACTCTTATTGATAATTATTTACACATTTGGAGTGAAATAGTTTTTCCATTGCCAACTATTATCACACAAAATATSTATTTCACTTTTTAAGTATAGTTATAAAAAAATATTTTGTTACAAATATATATATTTTAGATCAGAAAAAAATAAGCTTTTCAAAATTGCCATAGCCGCCTATGATTTCCATTAAAAAAAATACAAGTTTATCTTATTACGGCTAAACTAATAACTGAAAAAAATTGTTAACTACATTATTAAATTCCTCGTAAAAAAGTGCCTGTATAATGTCTTTATTTCAAATCTGTGTCTTCTATAATAACGAAGATATGCATTTTTTTAGATTTCACTAAAATGTCAATTTTTGTCTATAAGTCGAAAACAAAAGACGATAGCGGGATGCGGTTTTAACCAATATTATTTTCTCAAAAAATGAGCCCCAGAATGTATTACTCGTTTTTGCCTATAACTCTTTAGTTTCGGAGATTCCCTATTCGGACATCCAAAATGCAGCACCCTGTACAGCATGTCCTCGGATTAAGTTTACAAGAGGAAAAAAAATGTGATAGGACTTAAAAAGCAGAAAAAAATTATTCTAAAAGTCAAAAATCAAGAGAAAATGAACTTTTCTTTTCACTGAATCAGAATAATGAAATTTTAATTGCAGATTTGCTGGTTTCAGGTAAAGCAAAAAATGTTTTTTTTCTGCAGTTTTGGCGTAAAATCAAACATATTTTTTTTTTCCTTTTGTAAACTCAATTCAGAGACATACTGTACAATAAAAAAATATCGACAGTCGTTAGAGAGCGAATAAAGTTTGCAAATAAATACACGATAAAAAAAATAAAAAATAGTTTGTAGTTGACACATACGATGATGTATCTTTCTACATTATTTAAAAAAATATCTTTGCAAGTATAATAACTTTTATTGGATGAAATGCACTTGGCTTAGATATCTGCTTCGTAAAATATTCTCATCTCTTATAGATAGTTTCTGATAAGCTCACCTTATTTATCCGTATTGATTATCACTTACTAAAATTTTTATATTTTCTAAGATGTACGATAACTTGTATGTACAGTTGCGGAATTAAAATTTCGGGCAGTATTGTTATTTTCATAATGTAAACATTGAAACAACCTTTACATTAATAACCTCATTTTTTACTCTTGGCATGTTTATGTCATTTTAACTTATTTACTTTCAAAAATAGTGATTTAGGGTAGACAGCAAATCAAAGCGATGATTTAATTTTACTTTGTTCAATTAATAAATATCCTAAGACAGACAAATTGTTTCATTAACAATTTTATCAACATTTTGTCAAATGTCAGTCATGATTGATGACAGTAAAAGATAGTTTTGTGACGAAATTTTAATTCTGCAACTGTACATACAACTTGTCAACTAAGATTGACAGTAGCTAAAAATAAGGTTAACAGTCCTAAAGCATGCTTTACAATTTAATGTCACTCAAGTGACATTGACGACCAAAGTATTTTGTCTCCAACTGTACTATACCTCAAGCAATGTAAGGTAAAGTAGCATTCTGTCAACATGATGGAACGTTAAGCAAAATTCTGAAACAAGCTTAGAAAAACCTGAAGACTAATTTACACTTTTGGTGTGTCATGTCATTTCAGAATATTTGCTTGCAATTTAGGATGCGTAATTTTCACATTTTAATTTTTTTAACGGTTTTTGTAAATGTATTTATACACAAGAAACATTTCGAAAGAATGATCAATATTATTTTCTTCTGAATAATTGATTAAAGTCGTGGTCAATTCATAGTGGCCACTTCCCTGTGTAAATTTGTAAAAATTGAGTTGTGTAAATCCGACGTTAAACATACAATTGTTTTTTTAGTGACATAGCTATCAAAAATGACAATTCTAAAAAAGTCGGGTTAGAATACTTCACATACAAAATTCATTGCGCCTGTCACAATTATTGACATTTCTGCGACCAACTTTGACAAAACCCACACAATAGAAATGGCGGGCTAAGTGCTGCCAACTTTGAGATAAATTAAATGGCCACTATGAATTGACCGCGACTTTATGTTCTGATTTTTTACCACGAAATTTTGGATAATTTGTCATTCGACTGACATAAAAATGCAAAACGGGTCTTATGCAACTAACCTCACATTCGGTTTTTATAATTTTTATCCTGACAGCTAGAGAAAAAATGACAACAGATCAAAATAATTTCTAAAAACATGTATTGTTTCGGAAAATCGACGCTACAACACTGAAACTTTAAAATTTTAGTGTCAAACGTCAATCATAACGACAGTAAAGCTTGACATTGACATTTTTTGAACTGACATCCAAAATTCCGTGTCCGCGACATCTGGTTGGAAGTAGCAAAACAAAGGACATTCTGTTTTGTTTGTTAGTTAATAGCATGGCCGTACCGAATGGGGGGGATTAGGGGGTTCAAACCCCCCCCCGAAATGCTGAGCACTTTGTTATATATTGTTATAAGTGTTAAAAATTTAGTTTTTTTGTTATTTTAATGAGTTAATTTTAAATTTTTGTGAATTAATTTTTCATGTGTTAATTATACAGTGTTTCATTTTTATTGTTAGGTACAAATTTAAATAGTTAATAGAATATTTAATTTGAAGATAAAAGTGTTTTGAAAAATGCTATGAAAAGGAGCTACACCCCCTAAAAAAGGTACGTTTTTTAAAGGGTTTTTATTTCAGAATAGATAAAATTACAAAATTTGGTACCTAAACAAATGCCAAATAACAAAATTTTTAACGGTAAAACAAATTTAATTTTTAATTTTTATGCTGTTTATGGTCTGTAACATAAATTTTTAAACTGATTTTTACTAAAAATCCGTAAATTGTATCGGAAAAACACAAAAGACCTTTTTTTTTATAAAAAGCTATGAAATTTTCTTGCTGAAAGTGGCAAGAAACCACAGGCAAAATAGTTAGAGTAAATTTTTACCCTAATCCCATCCAGTTTAGGAAGCCCCTAAATAAATATTTCAATATTTTATTTTTGTACTTGTTTAGTTGTATAAAAGTTATCATCTGTAGCAAATTTTGAAATTTTTTTCGGCAATATTGAAAAAAAAACTATTAAAAGACGCACCTCTTGCGTAGCATTTTTCGATATACAGGGTGCGCCAGAACTCGCGCCCCAGAGAAAATTTCCAAGTAAGGTAAGATACCAGGAACATGAAAAAAATGTTTAAAAAATTCTATCTGTCAAAAAATTTTGACATTTATTTTTTGACATTTGACATTTTTTTATGTCTATTTAATGATACTGATGATCTTGTATATGTTTTTTTACAATTATTTAGTAAAGGCACAAAAATTTTGCCAATAAAAGCCACAAATAATATTAAACAGAGTTACAATTTAGGATACAACTTCTTTGTTTCCTCTTTTAATAGCCTATAGCAAAAAAACTTGTAAAATTATTTTTCTAACAGAAATAAATAAAGTCAAAAAGCAAACTTTAAACCCTCATAACTTCGAAATTTTTATAGATAAATTTTTTTTAAAATTTTTTCCATGTTGCTGGTATCTTACCTTATATGACATTTTTCTCTGGGGCGCGAGTTCTGGCGCACCCTGTATGTTCATAGAAATTTTTGTTTTAAAAATGAATATTCATCTCCTGTTTAAATTTGTAACAATAAAAAGTATTAAAAATTTATTTTATTTTTTGTTACTTTTGTGGTTAATTTGTATTTTTTTATATTTAATTAGGATTTCTTATTTCAATTTAAAATAAAAACGTGTACTTAGAGATTCTTGCTTTTTAATCCGTCTTCTTTCATTTCATTTTCATGGACCAACAAGAAACCTCCCCACCCGAAATAAAATTCTGGTTACGGCCCTGGTTAATAGAATAGTTGTGGCTTAAAATTAAGTTTATTTTAGATCAGTTGTTAATGTTTATTTTGAGAATTGTGCTGGCGTTTTATTTATTTATTGTTAAATAATGAATAATAAATGGTAACATAGATTTCTACATATTTTTGTTAACTAGTCGGTAGATGTCGCATGAACTGCGGCTTGTCACTTTCATTACGTCATTTGATATTTATCACAGTACTTTTTAGCATTTTTATTCGTGCAGTAAGTATTGTATAATAGAAAGTGGAATTAAGTGTAAGGTGACAGTGTTAGGTCTAGTCTAGTTGTTCTCCACTGTAAACAGTTCGCGTTCTGTGATAAAACGACTTTTCTGTTGCCATTTTAGCACATTTCATAATTTATTTTGTGTATGAAAGAAAGAGTGGAGCTTTTATACCAAAATTAAATGTTAGAGCAATAGAAAAGTCCAAAAATAAGTTGAATGTGTTCTAGTGCATGAAAAATCGTCGAAAGAAAAAAGTAAAATCGATCGATGAAAGAAACACCCATCTGAAACCATATGCTGCCTGTTTGTGATTTCCGATAATGAGATAAATTCGTGAAAAAATGTCCTCGAACGGCGATAACGACATTCCCCAATGGAAAAAGGAGTTGATAGCGCGTCTCCGTAGCCAAAACAAGTGCGCGACTCAGCTGGTCGATTCCTCCACCCATCAACGGCTGCTGTTGGTATCCGCGACCAGCAGTTTGGTACAACAACCCGGTGAGAGATGTTGTGACGTGGTGACGACGAAAATGGTGCAAGAAAGGTATTGGGACGAGCCGAGCCAAAAGTCCGAAGATTCGGACGAGGACTTACATTATGGCCCCGGAATCGTCAACAAGCTCAAAGAAAGGTACCTCAGTCTCGCCCAAAGAGAAAACAAACAAAGACCAACAATCTTACGAAAAGCTGCCTCTTTGGAGAATATTTTGGACGATGCTGTTGCTACTGCTTCGAGCAATGAAATAGAAGCTCACCGTTTGTTTGAAACGAGGCTGAACGGAAGCAATGACACCAAGAATGCGACCAACAACCGGTATAGGAGCACAAAACGTGGTATTGGCCCCGAAATGAAGAGAGCTCGTTCCGTTGAAACGATTTCATCACCCCGAATTGAAAAAGATGAAACGAAAAGGGAGTCATTACATGAGGAAATGCTTATCAAGGAAGGAAATGATAAGAGTTACACACCGAGAATCAATAGACCGAAAAGAATTCGTCCTGTAATGAATGAAAAAGAAAAACCACCCATTGATGTTGTCAAGCAAGCCAAAATGATTTTTGAAAGAAGACCCGAACAAAGAACTAGACCACCACAACAAACAGGAGATGTCGCCGCTAAAGTAGCCACATATAAAAATATCATCGTACAAGCTAAAGCCGCAAAAAAACCAACAATTAAAATTAAACCACTTGTTATAACCAATGGAATTAGAATCAAACCAAAAGAAATCGAAAATAGTAAACCTTGTGTTGTATCTCCCATACCGGACGTTTCAAGAATCGATTTAAAGCCAAAACCAAACGAAGACACCATTAATAAAACTTCAAGTCTTTCAGAAACACCCGATCTTATAATAACTTCTAGTCCCATTCCATCAGTAAATTCACCGTCATATAGAATTTCAGCAACTGAGAATTTTCTCAAAGAAGAAATTCGTCTCGCATCAAATGATAATAGAAAATCGCCACCGCCTAATTTTAATGTGAAAAATGACAAAAATACGAATAAAAATGTATCATCGATTACTGAACCACTCAAATTGGATATCACAATCAGTAATGGGGAAGCGAAACCAAATTTGACAATAGTTGAAATTGAAAAAAACTTGATAAATACAGCAAAAACGTTAGAAAAAAGTGGTGTTGTAATTAAAAGTGAAGAAGTGACGATTAGTAAAGTGCCAAAAGTGAAAAAGCAGCCACCACGTGAATTCGAAAATAATTCGATTGTATTTAAATTTACGGATAGAAAAGATGTACCGGATTATGTGCAGAATGATGGAGTTAAAAGGGTGGCGAAATTGGAAAAACCCAAGGTAAATAATAATTTATTGTTTCCGGTTTATCGCTAATTAAACCCCTTAGCCATAATTTTTTTTTGGTTGTACCTACAGGTCAATTTTATTAATCTTATCTTGAATACGTAAGAAAATAAATAGGTAATAATCTTATCTAGAAACATATTTTGGAGAAAATTGGTGATTAAGGAAAGTAAACACAATAATGATTTAGTTGTAGGCAATTATCGAAACCTAGATCACTTGTAGCAAGAATTGTTTAGAAAGTTAATGTTTCACAGTTGATTTAACTAAATGGAATGTTTTGTTTGAATAGATTTACTTGAATCTTTTAAACAATTCGGTATTATCAATATTTAAAACAACTTCTTTTTTTTATCAAATTATTTTAAGTAATCAATCAATTTCAATGTATTTACTTGTCTTTATTTCCAATCAAAACAATTCAGGTTAATTGTACAAAGTAACTTTCATTTCCCAGCTGCATTTATACATACTTAAAGCTTAACTAATTTTTTGCCTCGAGTACTGGGAAATACTCTTAGTTGCAAAATGTAAATAAAAAAACAACAAATTTGATCCTGATTCGGACCAAAGAATTAAATAAATTTACAAAAGAAAATTGCAACTTGCATTTGATAAACTCGTGATTTCGTGCTGAATTTAATTCGAGTTTAATCTTATGCTTGTGATAATTAGTTCCGTATGAAAATACCGCTAAGTCACATTTCTTTACTAATGACAGTTACGGCATGTTGTGAGACCACTCTAAACACTTGGAGCGTCTTAACTGTACGGTAAATGTGAGTAATTAATGAAATTATTCTTGAACAGATGACAACTGGTGAGATTTGGAGTGGCAATAAACGAGAGACTAGACAAAATTTTGACTTAAGATGTCTGTGTCAAAACTTGCACCCGAGAGAAAAATTTCAAGTAAGATATGATACCAGGAACATGGAAAAAATGTTTAAAAAATTCTGTCAAAACATTTTGATTTTTTTTTAAATCTATGTAATGGGTGCGAGTTCTGGCGCAGCCTGTGTATTTTTAAGTGCGTATGCTTTCATCAGTTTTTTTTTTATTTCTTCTACATAAGAGTTTTTTAACGGTATTTTTGTCTAATTTTTATTAACTTTTATGCATTTTTCTTAGCCTTTAATGCTCTGAAAAACATAATTTAGTTCTATCGAACTAGTAAATGTGGTCAAATCCTATCGGATTTGATTAAGAGTTTCATTTTTAGAGTGTCTTTTAGATTTTAAAAAATAATGTTTGGGTCAGTTCGAGTAGTTTCAGGTCGGTTTAGGCCACTTCGGATTACTTCTGATTACTTTGGCTTTCAGAAGAAGAAAAAATCTTAGGGAAATGTTTAAATTTAGTAGAAAAAATGTCATTCGAGACGTTTCAAAACGTCGTGCTACAGAAGACAGTTGGGAAAACTAAGAAAGTGTCAGTTGAATTGGTTTAAAAAATTTCTAGAGTTGCAAAAAACGTTTAAAAATTTCTTTAAAAAAAAGTTCAAAATTTAAACCCTCATAACTTCAAAATTTTTATAGAATTACAATTTTTCCATGTTTCTCGTATCTTACCTTGGCATTTTTCTCTGGGGCGCGAGTTCTGGCGCATACTGTATACAGGGCGAGTCAAAAAGAGTGACGACAACTTTTTGATTTATTTTTTTACACTTTTTTTTATAAACACAACAAACAGTTTTAGTGTTTTGGTTATTTTTTACAGCACTACCATAAAATAACAAAAAAAAACTCTCCAGTGGTGTAGAAAAGTTGGTATAAAAAAGATTCTGTTTAAAACTTAAAAAGTACAAAGAAACAGATTTAATTAAAAAGTCCTAGTTTTGAATTAATTTTGTAGGTCAAAACGAGTCTCAGAAACCAAATCTTGTAAAAAAAAATTATAAATATTGACTTATTTTTTCAAAGAGAAAAAAATTGTATTGGAAAAAGTTTCAAACTTACAATACGTTACATGGTATTTTTCTGGCCTACCATGTATACAGGGTGCGCCAGAACTCGCGCCCCAAAGAAAATTTTCAAGTAAGGTAAGATACCAGGAACATGAAAAAAATGTTTAAAAAATTCTAATTTCTTTTTTGACATTTGACATTTTTATATATCTATTTAAGGATACTGATGATCTTGTATATGTTTTTTTCCAATTATTTGGTAAAGGGACAAAAATTTTGCCAATAAAAGCCACAAATAACATTGAACAGAGTTACAATTTAGGATACAGCTTCCTTGTTTCCTCTTTTAATAGCCTGTAGCAAAAAAACTTGGAAAATTATTTTTCCAACAGAAATAAATAGAGTCAAAGTGCAAACTTTAAACCCTCATAACTTCGAAATTTTTATAGATAATTTTTTTTTAACATTTTTTCCATGTTCCTGGAATCTTACCTTATATGGCATTTTTCTCTGGGGCGCGAGTTCTGGCGCATCCTGTATAGAAGTTGAAAAATCATTGAAAATTCTGTTGATTATTTTGAGCGACTAAATCTAGACAAGTACATTTTAGGTTTGTTTACAGAATCAAACTTTTTTTTATTCATATCCGATTATTAGAACGCAATTGTGGTACAACATCCTGTAAAATCTTTATGGCGTGTGGCTCAAAACAAAAACGGATTGTGTTATTATATACTGCGACCCTGCATTCCATCATCAATTATGCGGATGTGTATAATATCAATTTTGTTTTTGTTTCTATATGGAACTACATATACAATGTAGGTTAATCACCTTCAACAAGATCGCAAACACTCGTTTTTATATATATTTTTTTTATCAAAATTTAAAATACACTTTTTCTCGTTTTTGGGTTTGCTTTCACCGTTTCTTCATAAAAATCTGACCTTTTGCAGTAACAATACGTTGGTCATGGTAACATCGTTACGGTGGTGCTTCCAACGAAATAGACCGCAGCATCCATTATTATTGGATAATAAAATTATTTGCATTTCTATTTTGATCATCAACTTTCCAAGTAGTGTTGAAATTGCAACAACAAAAAGTGTTAAATTTAATTTGTGTGTTGTTAGGTCGGCGAGGGTGGTATTATCTTGCTTCCTGGTGCCTCGATTGGTGAATCATTTACGGACGAAGATGAGGAAATTTTGAGATCTTTGGAAGGTCCTCCAAGTCCCTGTGATGTTACATTTATTAACGATAACATACTCATCGATGGAAAATCTAGTCTTAGTCAAAAAACGAAAAAAGCCAAAGTAAGTATATACAGGGTGATCCAGGGGTTCGTGCACGCTCTATAACTTTTTTTCTATCCAAGTTATCGACATGATTTTTTTTTAAACGATAGACCCAACAATGAGGTTCATTATAAAAATATTTCTATTCATATACAGGCTGTCCCAAATAAGAGACAAAACTAAGTTCCGTTTTATTAAATGAAAACCACATTTTTTTATTACATATCTGGATTCGCCACTAAATTGTCAATATAACGCACTTTGGTTTCTTAGACTTACCTGCAATAGTTTTTGACTTATGCCAATTTATGTGTCAAAATTGCATCGTGCATAGGACTCACAAAAAAATTCATAACTTCAAAACTATTCAAGACAACTTAACCAATTTTTTTCCAGTCGATTCCTTAAGCTTTAGCACATCTTTTGAGAAAAAGGCAAACTCGGAGTCGATGTTCCATCGCCTACTACGATGTTTTTAAAATGACAAAATGCAAATGGCAATAACTCGATTTTTTTAAATACAACACTCTATATTTTATTGCATCATTACATGGAATTTTTTGTGAGCTTTTGTCGATGTAGGGTTTATGGGGTTTACTTTGTAAAATTTGTACGATTTTTGCAAAATAAGAATTGGGGCGAGTAGGCTGCTGTCGTAAAATTTGACACTTTCGTGTACTTTTAATAATTGTTTACACATCTAATTGTCAATAATGAATTTCACTCGTGAAGAAATAGTGAATATGGTTTACTGTATTGGTGAAGAGCACAGAAATCCTTTATTAGCAAGCAAAATGTACCGTCAGAAATATCCTATCCTAATCGTACGATAGGCAGAGGAGGTACTATTCCCAGGCCCGCACGATCTCCATACCTTACTCCCATCGATTTTTTTCTTAAGAAAGAGTTTTCAGAGATCGTCCAACAACTGCAGATGATATGAAACACAGGATCACGAAAGCCTTCCATTCAGTTGATGGAGCAATGCTTGCTAGAGTTCGGAGCTCATTTACTAAAAGACTTGCTGGAACATGACCTATTTGAGCAGTTTTTATAAGTAACCTTTTCTCAAAATTTTTACATTGTTTTTTTTTTTAATCATTCTTTCCTATTTTTGTAAAGATTACTAAGATTGTTTCCTTTATTGTGATGTACTCCTGTTTCTATTACAATTTCATTTTATTGAAACACATTTTTTTCAGAATTGCATAGATGTGTCAAACGATAACGGCCTACTCGATTTTTTTTTCAGAATAAAACCATCAACATTACTTATTTTGCAAAAATCTCCTAAATTTTACAAAGTAGACCCCATGAATCCTATATCGACAAAGAGCTAATAAAAAATGCCATGCAATGATGCAATAAAATATAGAGTGTTGTATTTGGAAAAGTCGAGTTATTGCCATTTGTATTTTGTCATTTTCAAAAAATCGTAGTACGCGATGGAACATCGACTCCGAGTTTGTCTTTATCTCAAAAGACGCGCTAAAGCTTAAGGAACCAACAGGAAAAAAGTTGGTTAAATTATCTTGAATAGTTTTGACGTTATGATTTTTTTTGTGGGTTGATGCACGATGTAATTTTGACACATAAATTGGCATAAGTCAAAAACTATTGCAGGTAAGTCTAAGAAACCAAGATGCGTTATATTGACAATTTCGTGGCGAATCCAGAAAAGTAATAAAAAATTGGGGTTTTCATTAAAAAAAAAACAGAACTTAGTTGTGTATCTTATTTGGGACATCCTGTATATGAATAGAAATATTTTTATAATGTGCCTCATTGTTGTAGCTATTCTTTAAAAAAAACTTCGATAGAAAAAAAGTTGTTGAGCATGCACGCACCCCTGGGTCACCCTGTATGTGTGTGTGATACTTGTAGAAAATAAGTTTGTTTCTATTTTATTATTTTTGCATCGTTGACGATTTTGATTTCATCACATGTCAAGGTTATTTCTTGTGTAAATCATAACACAAAAAGAAATGCTAGCGATGATTTCATTAAATTTATTATTAAAGTGGTCTGTCAAATGTCAAAATTTTTATTTTATTCAGTTTTTTTTTTGGAATCACAGGCTACTCTCATTAGAAATGTAATTAAATGCATAATATAAATTATTGTCGTTATATATTTTTATATCTGGGACACCTGTTTGAGTTTTTTTTTATAATTTACTTGTTTTTTGATGTACTTATAACTTTTTTTTGTTTATGTGGCTATAAATCTGGGACGATAAAGTGGGCTAACTTTCAGCCCTTGAGCTTCTGTTTAAGTCAATTATGTATCGGCTTAGGTATGACAAGTAGGTCGACGGTGTTCATCATTTTAAAATTTGTATATTTATCGTAAACTAACTTAAATTTTAAACAATAGAAAGTGGAAAAAAGTCGTATGTATTGTAATTGTCTATTTGTGTCCACACAAATTTTCACTTGGAAAAAGCATGTTTCTTGAGTGAGTTTTAGATTGGTGGTTATTTATCTATGATTCCAAATCTAGAAAATTTATGAAAAACGAAACAGTCGCCGATTCGAAAATTTATTTTTTAATCGGAGAGTTGGAGATAAGAAATTATCTTTATAAAAAGTAATAAATCCAAGGTGAAAACTGTACTTATCAGATTAAAATTATTTAAAGTCCGGAATGAAATAATTGTTTTATTAGGTTTGAAAGTTATTTCTATCACATAAATTACTGATAAAAGTTTCTTTAAAATGTTTGATAACCGAATAAATAAATCATACCTACTTACTCCATACTCAGTCATCTTTGTTCTTATTGCTAAATAATACAATAAACTATGTTTGAATCGAAAAATATTATTCATGATATTAATAATAATAATTTTTTGCTTATTGCTCTACTTTTGTAAAATATTTTTTAGTGATAACATTTGAAAAATCGATGTGTGTTAACCATAACAGCAAGGAATATCGTTTGTAATTAATTATATCTATAACAACTATTGGTGGGTTTTTAATTAACAAATGTTTTGTAGCATGAAATACATAAAGTTTATGAAAATTTCAAGGTAAAGAAATGACAGGTAAAATAGCAAAACTATACCATTCAACCTCTCATTATAGATAATTCGTCCAAAATAATGGTCCCGTTTCATAACGTTATACTTTAGGTTATCGTACTAAATTTGTAAAAATTAAATACATTGTTATGTAGTATACTTAATATAGAAACGAGTTGAAATCATACAGTTATGCTTTTCTTTTCATCGCAATTAAAGTAATAAACTTGGAAAAAATCGAAATGTTCTTGAAACAGTAGAAATTTAATAATTTCTTTATTTTATCACACTCGAGTGAGTAATAATTATCAGTAATTATTTATTTACTTGCAGATGAAGATATCGTTTGTGGAGATGGGACCGGAGATTTACGAGTACCCCTCAGAGTCATCGTTGCTCATAGACGACGTTTCGACGTCCCCTACACCACTAGCACAAATGCGTCATTCAGTTCCTTCTCTCACAGGTGGATAATGAAATTTCGAATATTTTCAATAATAATAAAGTTTATTTTTTAAGGTACATCATCATTGGCAAATTACACGCCGAAGAGTACTGAAGAATTTCAACCGGGAGTAACACGAAGTGTCCAAATCGTGCAATCGACTAAACACGAGAATACTGACACTGAATCGATCTTACAACAAGTCGAAAAGCCAATTTTATTTAGTGCCGGGACCAATTCCGATATACTTTTCTAATTTCATTCCATTTTTTGTAAAATAATTAATTTGTAATCGATTTTACATTTAAACGTTAATTTTAGTTTAACATAAGTATTACCAGGCAAAGGCTGTAGTAATTCCATTTAAATTCGTTCAAAATTCTGTGATTGACAACAGTGCTATTGTCATTTTTGTAAATTTGTAAAAGTTATTTAAATTGTATCGTCGTGTATTACTGTTTTTTTGCAAAATAAACACAAAAAAGTTTCAAATTTTATTGGAACAATTATTATGAAATTTTTGTTACAAGGGGGATACGGTTTTTTTCCAATTGAACGCTCATTATGTCGTCGAGCTCGACTAATTTATTTTTGATTTTCATAATCACCTAAAAATATTAATTATTCAAATAGTTTTTTAGATATACAGGGTGTTCCGTTTTTATTGTTACAAATTTAAACAGGTGATAGGATGAAAGGGGGCTAATATGTTTTTGCTAATATTTCAGAAACCATTTAAGATAAAATTACAAAATTTGGTACAGATGATAACCTTTATACACCTAAACGAATTCAAACATCAAATGTCGAAATTTTTAATCAGGGGCGTACGAAACTGGGGGAGTTTAAGGTAAAAAAATACCCTATTTATTTTGGCTTTAGTTTCTCGGTACTTTCAGCAACAAAATCTTAAGTTCGATAGTTTATCACAGAAAAGTCTCTCTTGTGTCGATACGACTTATTGTTTTTGAATAAAATTAATTTAAAATTTATATTACACACCAATACAACATTCAAATAAATCAGAATTTACAGAATAATAAAAGCAAGAAATTCAAATTTTTTAATCAACCTCAACTAAATAACACTACATTACAGTAACAATAATAACATTAATTAAATGAATTTGCCTAAATCTAAAGGAGTTGTTCAAAGTGACTACCATTTTGGTCAATGCATAACTAAAGAAACTAGAGCCAAAATAGATGGGTATTTTTTTACCCTAAACCCCACCAGTTTCGGACGCCTCTGATTAAAAATTTCGACATTTGATGTGTGAATTCGTTTAGGTGTATAAAGGTCATCATCTGTACCAAATTTTGTAATTTTATCTTAAATGGTTTCTGAAATATTAGCAAAAATCTATTAGCCCCCTTCCAGGGGGTGTAACTCCCTTACCAAGCATTTTTATAGGAAACTTTTGTCTTAGAATTAAATATCCTATTACCTGTTTAAATTTGTAACAATAAAAACGGAACACCCTGTATTTAGTAATAGTATAATCGTACTTGCATCATTTTTTCAACAGCTGCATCTTCTTTACTTAATATATTATTTTTTAAACTTGTTAATTCATTGGGTGAACATTCGGCAAATTTTACAATTACGTCGTTGTGTAGACGCACCTTTAGCGTCCCAGAAGCATCTTCAACTTCAATAACCAACTTGTATTCATCTTCAACAATTGTCAACTTTTCTATAACTGATTTGAACTTTGCCTTTATTTTAAAAGTAGCCATCGTATCATTGTTTTGGTTTTCTAAAAGTTTCGAAATTGGAATTGTCTCACAAGTAGTTTGAAAAATCGAATCAATCTGATCTAAATGAGCGTCGATATCTAAAGTTGTAAAGACATCATTATTATCATCGTCCAAAGAATTTTTTTGATTCAAATCAAAATCACCAATTTCATTCAATTCGGCTTCTACCTCCATCAACATATCAATCTCTTTGGCCATTTCCTCATTCTCACTTAAATTTCTGTTTTTTTCTCTATTTTCAGTAAAATTACACACGTATCCTTCATTCTTCTCCTCCCTCTCAACCCTCAGAGTTTTTTCTTCAATAGCTTTTGGAGTCGAATTCTCAGGCAATTTTAAGAATCTTGCCAAGACATTTTCTGCAACATGACTCACCGAAAGCTCTTCAACTTCACCTCCCAACACTTTTACGTTCTTTTCTTCCAACATTAAACGACCCCGTCGTAAGACCACAGGTCCCATAATTCGAATTTTAGTACCTGGAGCGAGATTTAAACCTATACTATTGATTGGTTTGTATTCGATCGCTTCAACTTCTTGAATTCCATCTGTTAATGTCATTTGAACGAGTCTTTTGCCTGTTCCGACTACATCAACATCTTGCTCAGTACTCCGAGTTAAAGCATTACTATTTCGAATTTTCTGTAATTGCCACAGTTTGGGTTTGGAGATATCGACGATTTGCATCATTTGAACACAAAAATTGCCGTCTAAAGTAAACTTGAGTTTGGTTGAGAGATTCGGAGGTAAGACTGAAATGGGAACGTCACGAAGATCGAGAAGTAACCATTGTTCGTATACTTTTGATTCAAGTTCTTTAAGGGTGTAATGGGGGCTTAAAATTTCCTCTTTACACCAATTTACACAACTCTCAAGCCAAACATCGGATAATTGCACTTGAATGGATGAGAAAAATGATTTTACATTAGTTATTTCGCTACCCATTGTGGAAATCACAAATTTTCATACTTTTTTTTAGGTTAGGTGCTTTATAGGTTAGAGAAAGAACCGCCAAATTTTGAATTATTGACTTTTTATTACTTGACAGATATTTTACAGCGTTTTGTTATTTGTCCAAATGACATTAAAACTCCTTCCATCACATAAGGCATGAGTCCAGTAACTTCATCTGGAGTCATATGTATCGATGGGGGTAAAACAGCTCCACCTAATACCAAATGACTAACTTTATTTAAAATTTCCAACTTGTGTGATGTTAGTAACACCAAAAAATTATTAATTATATCAACTCCTCGAATAATACCTACGGAAAACTAATAACAAATCATATTATACTAAAAAAAAATTACCCCAGCCAAGACATTCAAAAATTGGCATTTTTTCATCTTCATGTTTACATAATGCAACTAAACATGCATTTATTGCCGCCGGAGGAATGTCATTCCCATTCAAATCACTTATTTTAATATCATTTAAACCTATCCTAAAATGTTTTTTTATTTGTAATTGGTTAATATACATACAGGTGCGCCAGAACTCGCGCCCCAGAGAAAATTTTCAAGTAAGGTAAGATACCAGGAACATGAAAAAAATGTTTAAAAAATTCTATCTGTCAAAAAATTTTGACATTTATTTTTTGACATTTGACATTTTTTTATATCTATTTAATGATACTGATGATCTTGTATATATTTTTTTACAATTATTTAGTAAAGGGACAAAAATTTTGCCAGTGAAAGCCACAAATAACATTGAACAGAGTTACAATTTAGGATACAGCTTCCTTGTTTCCTCTTTTAATAGCCTATAGCAAAAAAACTTGGAAAATTATTTTTCCAACAGAAATAAATAGAGTCAAAGTACAAACTTTAAACCCTCATAACTTCGAAATTTTTATAGATAAAATTTTTTTAACATTTTTTCCATGTTCCTGGTATCTTATGGCATTTTTCTCTGGGGCGCGAGTTCTGGCGCAGCCTATATAGTCCAGTCAGTAGGGAGTTTTGCCCTACAAAAGGTGGGGTAGTAGTAATTTTTTAATATGTTGTTAAGGTCTAGGCCTTGACAAAAAATTTTTGTCATCCGTCTTGGATGAAAGGTACAAAAAATAGGTTTTTCCAAAATAACTCCACAGTGGTTGATTCTACGGCAAAAGTGTTGAGATAAAAGTTAAAGAAGACAAAATTCTTCACATTTTCTGTATAAACATTTTTTTTGTAAGTCTAATGTGTAACGAGTTACAGCGGCGGAAATATGAACATTTTTCCCAAAAAATAGTAAAACTCACCATTTTCGACGGTGAATTTTGTAAGAAAAAATTACACTTGTTTTTAATGTTTTTTTCGCACCACAATAATTATGCAGCGATATCTATTTTAAATTACACTGATTTTTCTTGTTACATATAGGATTATTCATAAATAAGGCTCGGATTATATATATCAACAAAATTATAAGTTTTCTATGCATATCTGATGTTTTTTGATTAAAATAGACCAATTAATAAATGCATATTTTGGCAACTTCGTGCATATTTTAGGAAATATTGCAAATCACAAATTTCTAATTAAAAATTTCAGTTCAAGTTAGACAGTTTAAGAAAAAAGATCCGATTACAAAATATGTTAAAGAGAAAAATTGTTTAAACTTTTGAGATTATTATACTATTAATATTTTTTTCTTAAATAACACGGTTTTTTATTTCTTGTTTTACAAAGATATGTTCATGCATTTTATAAATGTACAAAAATATTTATTAAAAATGTTACAATTTATGTTAAAAAAATTATAAACTTTATCTGTTGTCAAAACTGTCTTCCACCGGTCAAGGGGTGTACGTTTAAACAATTAATTTAAATAAAAAATATCTTGGCATCGCTTCTTTACAACCTTTAAACATTCATCAATTTATTTAAAGAAAAAACGAGTAGTTTATTAAAAAAAATCTTTAATAATTGTAAGTCAAACATTTTTTTAACAAAAAGTGTTAAAAAAAGTTGTTCTTGTAACAAACTCGTTTAGAAAACATAGTGGTAGATTTTCATTAAAAAAAATTGTTAGTATGTTTATGTCGTAAGTTATAAACAATTAATTGATATTCAATTTTTTTTTTGGAATAGCAATTTTATAGCCATTGTACAACTATATATTTTTTTTAAATTGTTAGTTTCGCCAGAAAATAATAAGCGTTTCCAGACTTCTGGACCACTCTGTATTTTGGTCAAATGGTTCCGAAGTTATTACAAAAAAAAATAAAAAATTCCATACCCACGTTCCGAGGGCTGTAAAATTTTTATGAGTAGAGATAGGACACGAGTTATTATTAAATTAACATCGTTTTATACGTCATTTTTGAGGTTCAAATATTGCTTCATATTTATGAATAACCCTATATGTAACAAGAAAAATCAGTGTAATTTGAAATAGATATAACACTGTATAAAAACATTAAAAACAAATGTAATTTGTTTTTACGAAATTCATCGTCGAAAATGGGGAGGTTTGCAATTTTTTTGTGAAAAATGTTCATCTTTCCACCGCTGTAACTCGTTACACATTAGACTTACAAAAAAAATGTTTATACAGAAAATGTGAGGAATTTTGTCTTCTTTAACTTTTATCTCAACACTTTTGCCGTAGAATCAACCACTGCGGAGTTATTTTGTAAAAATCGATTTTTCGTACCTTTCATCCAAGATGGCGGCTCGAGCAGTCCTCCCTCAAGGTTGAAAACTTGGATTTTTTGTCAAGGCTTAACAACATATTAAAAAATTACTACTACTCCACTTTTTGTAGGGCAAAGGCCTTTTTTGGTCCCTACTGACTGGACTAACATGTGTAGAACAAACCTGTATAATGGGATATACGTTTTGTAAATTGAATCAGAGTTGATCATTTCGCGTACAAAAGCCAAGACACTCATTTCCCTCAATTGTCTAGGCTCAGCGGTCCAACCATCATTTTCATCAGACTTTGACTCAATTTTATGTAAATTATAATGAAGGATGATGTTCAAATCAGGAACAAATAATTTTGCATTTTCCATTACAAAATCCTCTTCTAAAAGGCATTTGTAATTTTTCTTTGAATCACGACTACAAATTTGTAAAATGTCTGTTGGCTGAACATGAACAATTACAGCTGAAAGTATATTAAGGCCCATTCCATGTGTATAACCCATATAATTTACTACAGTGGGAATTTCTTCTTCAAAATGTTCTCTTAACAGCAACTTGACACTTGAAATGTATTTATCAGGCTCATAGGCAATATTTATATTTGAAAGAATCGACCTAAAACAAATACTGAATAAACAGAATTCACAAAAAAATATATATTACCTCTGCGTTTTGTGCAAATGTGTATAGTTGACTCCAAAAACAGGTTCCGTAATTTCAACAAGTGAAATAGAACCTGGAACTGTAAACTCAGATTGACCTGGATCTAAATCAATCACTCTGACTTTTTTAAATTTCATTAAAAGTCTGTTTAGTGTATAACGCAAAAAAGTTGTTTTTCCTACACCCTTCCCACCACAAATTATCATTTTCGTATGAGAATTTATTGCATCAATAATTTTATCCCAATTTTGATCTGTTTTAATCAAATTCCAATTTCCTTCTTTTGGATCAAATGTAATTCGCGGTAAAGTGTTATTTTCGCCTCTCGGGAGAATTTGTTGAGAAATATGTTTCTCTATGAAAAGTATATTTGGGTCGTGCAAGTATTTGCAAAGAACTACAGCACAGTTTGGTGTTAATTTAATAGAAATTTTTAAATTGAGTAAATAATTAGTTGCAGGAACGTCAGAAACTGTTTGATTTTTTAAATAGAGGAGAGCAGTGCCTCTTGGTGAATACACTTTAGCCTCTGCACTGTTTTTATTCATTATGTGGCCTAAAATCTCAATTTCGCCATGTAAAACTGAAAGTAAACAAAGACCATGTATATAAACGGTCTCATTTCTCTCCAATACAACAACAATTCCATCCGTTGTATAATAATATTGAGCGTTTGTTTTACTAAAAGTTTCAGATTTTGGTTGTGAAACGGAGGTTTTCTCATTTTTTTCTTTTTCTACACATGACACAACTCGAGTCTTAGTTTTAGTGGCACTTTTTTCAATTCCTAAACTGCCCACATTCACCGACACAATTTCGGAACTTTTATTTAATACAGTTTCATTTTTAAATTCATCAACAACTGAATTATGTAAATAAGAATTTTCTTCTTCGTCTTCTTCCTCTGATGAAATCTTAAAACTATATTCTCCCAAATTGCAAGATTCATTATCGGAAATAGATAAATCTGTGCTTTTAGTAGAAATTAGTCCATTTTCAAAAGCTTCAATTTCAGACTTTGACGGTTTTAGATTTAAAATTTTACTGAATTTGGAGGTAAAGAATTCAGGTTTTTCAGGGGGACAAGACACATCATTTTCGTCACTCGATGAATCAAAACTGACTTCTTGAAATAAGTTACTTATCGTGAGTTTTGAACATTTCCATTTTTTGTCTTTTCGACAAATTTTTGATTTCCTTTTATGCGCAACTTGACTGCATAAATGGCCCTTGTCCATATTTACTTAAATCTTAAGAAAACACTTTGTATTTAATTTGCTTTAAGAAAATTTGTTTTAATAACCTATTTTTCTAACCTAAAACACTGTCACATGTGTTTTGATTTTTGACACATGATGGTAACAGAGTCGCCAACAGTTTGTGCGTTGGGGATTCTTTTTCAAAATTATTTATTTCAGTAGTGTTTATTATAAATGTTATTACTTTGATATAATAAAGAATGCGTTAATTATCGTTTTATTTAAAACCAAGAAATATATGTGGTTGTACTTAGATAATAATAATATGACAAAAGTGACTTAGTAATATTTGTGTTTATGTGTTGGCAACGACACATTCATTTCTTTTTGAAATTTTCAAAAGATAATTCTAACGGTCTTCGATCCTCTGACACTAGAGTAGTAGTTTTTACCTCTCTTATCTCATTTGATGTTTGTTTGAATAAACTGGTGTTTTGTGTATTTTATTAGTTGTGTTTAGTTTACAATGTCACAATTTAAATTCGTGACGGAAATGAATAATTTGGTGACAATGGAAGGTCCTTTAACAAAAGGTCCTCCACCCCGATGGCAACGTAAAGGTCAAGAAAATTACCAGTCAAGCATTAATCAAAGTCTCAACTCTTCAAAGCAAAAGTCCTTTTCTACATCAATTACAAAAACACCTACAAAAGCAGCCGCCGGTTCAAGTGGTGAAGTGGTGGTAAAACCTAAAAAAACCCCATCAAAAACTCCAAACAAGAACCGATCAAACGGTTCGAAAACTCCGACACCGAACAAAATCTCGAAAACACCAGTGGCGGATCGTTTTATTCCAGTCAGGAGCACGAGTAATTTCGATTTGGCTCATTACAAACTGAATCAAGATGAAGATTCCTCTGACAGTCCCACGAAGAAAGAACTACAAAAAGCAATGTGCGAAAATTTGCATGGGGGCGATATCAATTCTCAGAAGATTCTTACGTACACGAATAAGCCGCCGACAGCCCCAGCCGGTTTTCAAAACCCCATGCGCGTTATTTATACTCAAACTAAGACTCCGGCATCTGTTAAGAGCAATAATCGGTATATTCCACATGCTCCTGATAGAATTTTGGACGCTCCCGATATTGTTGATGACTATTATTTAAATCTGATGGATTGGAGTGCTGGAAATATTCTAGCCGTAGCTCTGGGTGCCCACGTTTATTTATGGAATGCTGGTGAGTTGAAACCTAATTTAAATAAAATATGAGTAAATCAAAATAACAAGCATAATGTTGGGTTAAAACGACTAATTTGGTTAATAAAAATATTATTAGAAAAAAATGTTGTGCCCTACAGGAAACTGTAAAAGTTAAAAAGTTGCTTTTTTGACCAAGATATTAAGTAATTGTGTATTTAAAAATTATATTATTTTTTTTTCTTCTAATAAAACACAAATTAAATTTGTTTACAATTATTTTATTTGTACTTTTTAGCGTCATCTATACACTCTTTGCCACACTAAGTAAAAACATTTTACAGGGCACTGTAAAAGTTAAAAAGTTGCTTTTTTTAACTGGAAGATATCAAGCAATTATGCATTTAAAAATTATATCATAGACTTTTTTTCTAGTAAAACACAAATTAAGTAAGTTTTACAATTATTTTATTTGTCAAATAAGGCAGTAAAAAATAAATTATTAACAGAGTCATCAACATTAAAAATCAGTTTTTTTTATTTTGTTTATTTATTTAAATAAAACTGACAAGCATAATAACGGGTTAAAAACACCAATTTGGTTAAATAATTTCATTTTTGAATAAATGAAAATGTTAATTAAAAAAATTAATCATAATTTTCATAACTAATCGTCAAAGTTGCTATGCGCTACAGGACACCGTAAAAGTTGAATAGTTGCTTTTTTGGGCAAGATATTAAGCAACTGTGTATTTAAAAATAATGTTATAAACTTTTTTTTTTAATAAAACACAAATTAAATTTGTTTAAAATTATTTTATTGGTCAAATAAATCAGTAAAAAACAAATGATTAACAACAGTGTCACCAACATTAAAAACAGTTTTTTTTGTATTATGTGATGTTACCTGTTTATTTCTTTAAATAAAATATGAGTAATCCAAACTGAACCATAATACCGGGTTAGAGCCACTAATTTGGCTCTATTTTTGAATAATTCAAAAAATTAATTATAGTTTTTATAATTAATCATCAAAGTTGCTGTGCACTACAGAAAACTGAAAAACACTACAGAAAAGTTGTTTTTTTGAGCAAGATATTAAGTAATTATGTATTTAAAAATTACTTTATATTTTTTTTTTTTTTAAACAAAACACAAATTAATTATTTTATTTGTCAAATTATTAATGCGTCATCTATACAGGGTGCGCCAGAACTCGCGCCCCAGAGAAAATGTTCAAGTAAGGTAAGATACTAGGAACACGGAAAAAATGTTTAAAAAATTCTATCTGTCAAAAATTTTTGACATTTATTTTTTGACATTTGACATTTTTTTATGTGTATTTAGTGATACTGATGATCTTGTATATGTTTTTTTACAATTATTTAGTAAAGGTACAAAAATTTTGTCAATAAAAGCCACAAATAACATTGAACAGAGTTACAATTTAGAATACAGCTTCCTTGTTTCCACTTTTAATAGCCTATAGCAAAAAAACTTGAAAAATTATTTTCCCAACAGAAATAAAAAGAGTCAAAGTGCAAAATTTAAACACTCATAACTTCGAAATTTTTATAGATAAATTTTTTTAACATTTTTTCTATGTTTCTGAGATCTCAGCTTATTTTTCTCTGGGGCGCGAGTTCTGGCGCACCCTGTACAATGTTTGTCACACTAGGTAAAAAACATTTTGCAGGCCACTGTAAAAGTTAAAAAAATGCTTTTTTAACAGGAAGATATCAGTCAATTATGCATTTAAAAATTACATCATAGTCTTTTTTTTTTCGTTTTTCTAGTAAAACACAAATTAACAACAGTGTCACTAACATTAAAAAACAGTTTTTTTTTTATTTTGTTATTTTATCTGTTTATTTATTTAAATAAAATATAAGTAATTCATACTGACAAGCATAATATTGGATTAAAAAGACTAATTTGGTCAAATAACTCTATTTTTACATAAATAAAAATATTGATTTAAAAAAATGCTGTGCGCTACAGGAAACTGTAAAAGTTAAAAAGTTGCTTTTTTGAGCAAGATATTAAGTAATTGTGTATTTAAAAATTATATTATTTTTTTTCTTCTAATAAAACACAAATTAAGTTTGTTTACAATTATTTTATTTGTCAAACTATTTATACTTTTTAGCGTCATCTATACAATTTTTGCCACACTAAATAAAAACATTTTACAGGGCACTGTAAAAGTTAAAAAAAATGCTTTTTTAACTGGAAGATATCAGGCAATTATGCATTTAAAAATTAGATCATAAACTTTTTTTCTAGTAAAACACAAATTAAATAAGTTTACAATTATTTTATTTGTCAAATAAGGCAGTAAAAAAATAAAACTTTATTAATTGATTGAAATTAGGAACTGGTAATATTGAAGACCTCCTGGAATTGCAAGGCAACGATTATGTTTGTTCTTTGGCTTGGATTCAAGACGGTGACCATTTGGCTGTTGGTACTACAAATGGTACTGTGGAGTTATGGGATTGCGGCCGAACCAAACGCCTCAGAGTCATGGATGGACATTCAGCACGCGTTGGTTCACTATCATGGAATTCATATGTGTTGACAAGTGGCTGCCGAAGTGGTCAAATAATTCACCACGATGTGCGTCAACGCGAACATGTCATTACGACTCTTTCGGGTCATACACAAGAAGTTTGTGGTCTGAAATGGTCACCAGATGGCCGGTGAGTTGCAATGATTAACAACAACAACATTTAATTGATTTATTCAGTTATTTAGCGAGTGGAGGCAATGACAACGTTTTAAATATTTGGCAAAGCATCACAGGAGGACATCACACCAACAGCCAACCGCTTCATGTTTTTACCGCTCATCAAGCCGCTGTTAAAGCTTTGGCGTGGTGTCCATGGCAAGCTCACGTTCTTGCTAGTGGTGGTGGTACCGCAGATCGACATATTAGGTTTTGGAATTGTAATATTGGGTCTTGTATTAATTCGATTGATACCAAATCGCAAGTTTGTGCTCTTTTGTGGAGTAGCAATTACAAGGAAATTATTTCTGGACACGGTTTTGCTAATAATGAATTGATTATATGGAAGTATCCAGCTATGAGTAAAGTAGCTGAATTGACGGGACATACTGCAAGGGTACTACATTTGGCAATGTCGCCTGATGGGAGTACAGTTTTGTCAGCAGGTGCCGATGAGACTCTAAGGTTATGGAAATGTTTCGTTAAGAACTCGACTAAGAATAAGACTGGAGTGCAGACTCGGGAAAAACCGAGTATTCTTAAACAGTGTATTAGATAAATTAGTGGTTAATCTTGTAACAATGTATCATTTCTTTAATAAATAAAATTCATTTTGAGTTGTACTTTAATACAATTGCGGACACGGAATTTTGGACATCAATTATGTCAGTTCAGTAAATGTCAGGCTTAAGTTCTCGATAACTTTTTATCGTAGAACACTGTTTTTTTTATATGTTAGAAAATTAAATTTGCTTTCTAATGCTACCAAATATAAGAGGTTATTACCAATAAGTCTGGAGTTATTGGCAATAGACCGCTCCGGGTGCTAAAAGTCGACCAACAAAAAAAAAATTCAAATTTTTTTATTCTTATCCTATCCACAATTTTGACAATTTTCACTTTTTGAACGGCGATTACAGCCAAACTATTAGACTTAGAGCAATCAGTCCAACTCCATCGTAATCAGCGTAAGAAAATCTATCGACTGAGGCCAAAGCCAAGTCGATATCTCGCAAAAAA